TGACTAGTCTCATAGTTAGGAAATTAATTTCCCTCCCATGTTCACAAAGTATGAGACAGGTTGTGGGATATGTATTTGTATTACAATACTGCCTAGAGTTTGCAACAGAGATCAGGGTCCCATTGTGCAGTACACTACACAAACATAATGGTGTGTGTCAAAGAGCTTACCGCCTAAATAGATAGATAGAATGGGCAAAAGGCTGCAACACAAACTCAGTGATGGCTGGCAAATGCCATGTTAGTGCCATGGTTTTTATAATGTCTGTGATTTTTTTTTCTGTTGCACTTAAACACAATGGAAAGTTTAACAAGATGTGCTAGAAAGTTTACATCTCCATTACGACTCTCTAAATGGTTCTCTTAAAGTCCATGGTAAGGAGTTACTTGGGAGTTCAGTTGTGTAATTAACTTTGTGGAAAACGCAATTATGTAGCATGTGTTTCAGATCTGTAATAGGAGGTATGAAAGATAAGTTCTTATGAGGGCAGACACTCATCTCTCCAAGTGCATACCTAAGCACTCAGATTTCCACCAGGGATGAAATTGGTAAAATTAACTGATAGGGTTTGATTTAGATTACTGATGAGATGTCAAATAATCCAGGCTCATTCAGCTTTATTAGTCAAACCTAGAACAGCACAACATGAAAAGAAGCCATACTTTACCCTCTTTTGAAAAGTATGAGTTCAAGCCTATTTATATTTATACAGGAATTGTTTGATTGATTGAAACATTAGCCAAGACTTATGCACCAGTTCTTACCAGTTTCTTATCTTCTTTTGAACATAGTTTACCAAAAGTCAGCAAAATTGGAGATATTCTGCACTGCCATAGGTTGGTACAGAGGCATGTTGGTCAAGTGTCAACAAAATCATCCATTTTCTTCCTTAGTACACTCTGCGAGCTATACTTATTACACTTATCATATCTGGCAAGCTTCAACACAACGTACATCTTCTCTGACAGATTCTACAGATACACAGACCAGAGGTTGAGTTTACCTATTAGCATATTGGCGTTACAGCAAGGTACCCTGGAAGCGTGGCTCACAGTGTAGCATAAGTATAAAGTATACAAAGTCTTCTAGAAATATATATTAAAAAAAACAGATGACTGGATAAGAAGGTGTGTTTAGTGTTCTTCTCTGCATAGATTAAAGGGAATTTAAGAACACATAGCATGTAGGTGTGAAAAATGTCATGGTAAAGTTGATGGTATGTCCACCCTGATGAGTCACCTACAGTGAAAAAAGCTTGATTTAAGTTCCTGAAATGCCACAGAATTTCTTTGGTAGGTGAAATGTTGCATGAGACCTACCTGCTGCCTCTCCTGGTATATCTCCTAGGAGATAAAGATTGCAAATGCCAAGTTCCCAGCTAGTGGAGAAAGAGTATGCTTTTGTGTAGGCCTGATCTTCCCTGGCCTTTTAGCCTACATGAAAAGCATGTCACAAAACGCAGATACTATAGTAGGCATCTTGAGACGGTCTTTATAGGGATAAAAAGCATAGCTGGTTTAGAGAGCGCTATGAAGGCAGCCTGAAAAGGAAAAAAGTGGGGGGTGAGAGAGAGAGAGCCAGACAGACATTGGGCCAGAATTTTAAAGTTAAATGCAAAGCAGGCAAGTCCGCATGTGCACGAGCTCAGTTTGGTACAGGGCTATGTGTAGATTTGTGCATGTATGTGCATGCTCCTAAATTAGGTACCTGCAGAGATGCTTGCAACTGTGTGTATCTCACATTGACAATGCAGCCCAGCACATATGTGAGAACATAGAAGCACTGGGCTGGACCCTTGGAAGGTCATGTAGTCCAGCTCCCTGTGTTGAGGCAGGGCCAAGAATGCTTGCACCTTTCAGGGATGGGACTTAGTTTAACCTGTTCTTAAAAACCTCCAGTGATAGGCTTCCACAGGAGGTGTAGAATCCCCATTTCAGAGCTTAACTCCCTTTATAGTTTTTTTCCCTAATATCTGACCTTTCTAAATCACCCTTGCTTCAGATAAAGCTCAATGCTACTTGTCCTACCTTCAGTAGACATTGAGAACAATTGATCTTTATAACAAACAATCTTCAAATATGTTAAGGGCTATCAGGTGTGTTGTCCCCCGTCCCCCCCTCCCCCCCCCCCCCACCCATATTTTTTCAAAATTAAAAATGCCCAGTTTTTTTTTTTTTTAATCTTTACTTATAGGTCAAGTTTTCTAAACCTTTTATCATTTTTGTTGCTCTCCTCTGGACTCTCTCCAATTTGGCAACATCTTTCTTAAACTGTGGTGCCTAGAACTGGACACAGTATTCCAGTTTCGCCAGTGCTGAGTAGAATGGGATATCTCCTGTGTCTTACATATGATACTCCTGTTAATACACTCCAGAATATTGGCCTTTTTTTTTTTTTTGCAACTGCATCATGTTTACTCATATTCAATTTATGACCCACTACAACCCCCCAGATTATTTTCAGTAGTACTACTGCCTAGCCAGTTATTCCCCATTTGGTGGTTGTGCATTTAATTTCATTTCCCGCCCCCCTTCCTACATGTAGTACTTTATGCTTGTCCTTACTAAATTTCATCATGTTGATTTCAGGCCAATTCTCTTACTTGTTAAGGTACCAGGGAGGGAGAGGAATTATTTCAGCTCAGTACTAATGTGGACACGAGAACGAATGGATATAAACTGGCCGTGGGGAAGTTTAGGCTTGAAATTAGACGAAGGTTTCTAACCGTCAGAGGGGTGAAATTCTGGAACAGCCTTCCGAGGGAAACGGTGGGGGCGAAAGACCTCTCTGGCTTCAAGATTAGGCTAGATAAGTTTATGGAGGGAATGGTTTGATGGGATAACGTGATTTTAGTCAATTAGGCAATAACGTGCCATCGCTGGTAAAATGTGGGTCCGGCTGGAGAATCTTGCCTGTATGCTCGGGGTTCTACTGATCGCCATATTTGGGGTCGGGAAGGAATTTTCCTCCAGGGTAAATTGGCAGAGGCCCTGGAGGTTTTTTGCCTTCCTCCGCAGCATAGGGCAGGGGTCTCAAGCTGGAGGATTCTCTGCGACTTGAAGTCTTCAAGTCACGATCTGGAGACTTCAACAGCTGAGATAAGGGAAATTGGGTGGGCCAGCTTTTGTGGCCTGCATCATGCGGGAGGTCGGACTGGATGACCATAATGGTCCCTTCTGACCTTAAAGTCTATGAGGTTATTTTGAATTCTAATCCTGTCCTCCAAAGTGCTTACAACTCCTCCTATCTTGGTATCATTCACAAATTTTATAAGCACACTCTCCATTCCTTTATCCAAGTAATTAATTAAAATATTGACTAGTATTGGATCCAGGACAGACTCCTGCAGAATCCCAAGTGATACGTCCTCCCAGTTTGACAGCAAACCATTGATATATATACTCTGAGTATGATGGTCTTTCAACCAGTCGTGCACCCACTTCATAATAATATAATGTAGACCACATTTGCCTCATTTTCTGATGGGACTGTCACATGGGACTCGGTCAAAAGGCTTACTAAAATCAAGTTATATCGCATCTACATCTTTTCCCCCATCCGCTAGGCCAGTAAACCTGTCAAAGAAGGAAATAAGGTTGTTGTCAAATTATTTGTTCTTGACAAATCCTTGTTATTACTTATTACCGTATTAGACTCTAGGTGCTTACAAATGATTGTCAATACATCATAGTAAATACCTCATTTCCTTGTAAGATGTTGACCTTTTTAAAGCTGTATCTGTTGTGTTCAGTGGAGCCCTCCTAAAGCTCATTTAGAGGGAAGCATTGTTTTTGCTCCGATATGCAGTTTTTTTCAGATTATATTTGCATTTGTTAAGCTTCCAGACTCTTACCTTGCTACAAAACAACCCCTTACATGATACACAACAAACATTCTGGTCAGAAATATTTGGTTTTGAAGGGCAGATAAGTTTCCCCCCTGCTCATTCAAAGCTCCCCAGAGTTCAGTGGGAGTCTTCACTGAATAAGGACTGATGCCTGGGAATAGAGTGAGGGAAATGTTTCACTTGGGCTCCCAGGAAACTAGGATTTCAGATATTCTAGTGAAAATGTGGGTGATCCAGACCTAAGAAGATGTATCTGCAGCTATGTCTAGACTACGAGCTAGGGGTATGATTCCTCTGCTTGTGTATGCATACTTGTGCTATCTCAAGTATAAATAGCCGTGTAGCTGTGGTAGCACGGTAGCCAAGTACATACCTGCCTGAAACTGGTGAGTTTGTACTTGGCATGGCTCATCCTGCACCTCTTCTGCTATTTATACTTGTGCTAGCTCAATGAAAGCTAGCGTGAGTATGTGTCAAATCACACCCCTCACTCGCCGTGTAGACATAACCTGCAAAGCCAGACCCCCTCAGTAATAGTGAGGGTGGGCGCATTGGAGGCAAGTCACCAAATGGTCCCAAATCTGAGACAGTTGGACTCTTTTTAAAAATGTCCAGTGTGTTTTTTGTCAATACCGGTCAAGATCTAAATATGCTGGGAGAATTTGAGAAGGCAGTAAGAAAATAATGAATTGGTGCATCTGTTGCTCTGCATAGGAAGGTTTCTACTGAATTTACAAATCATTTTTAATCTTGCCCTATCTCAGTTGCAACGCTGACTGATTTGCTTATATGAACATTGGAATAATATTTAGGTTTGCAATTACTGAACTTGGATGTTGCAAATTAAAATATGCATTTTTAATTAATAAAACAATTAGATTTTGAAAACAAAGTAGCATCAATTTATGCCAGCCCAGATTATTTCCTTTTTTGCAACCTTAACGCGTTAACATAGAGGAAACATTACATTTTACATGGTAACTATGCAGTGTGGGCTGTATTTGGAAAACTGTCAGGGTTTGGGTTTTTGGGTTTTTTTTGTCTGTAGTCTGACATATTTTATTACTTCCATAGCAGATATCTGTAAGAGAGTGAATTGTCCTGTTTTAAATGTTATACTGCCTGAGACTTTAAGTACTGTTTTTGTTTCTAGCCAGTGGGAATAAACTTGGTCAGTGTTCATTCAAGTCCAAATGATCAGATGCTATGGGCAATTGATAGCAAATGGAATGTCCATGTACGAATAGGAATTACAGAAGAAATGCCAGTAGGCACTGACTGGGAACATGTACCAGGTAAAAATAATGATAATATTCCTATGTGCTTCCTCTCACACATTCAATCCCTGAAACACTTTAATTCTGTTTTTGTTAGTGAGCTGTTCCAATGCCAAGCATGCTAGATTGTTGTGATTAACAAGACTGATTTGGTTACCAGATAATCCTTATCTTGACTTGAGTACGTGTCTCTTAAATATGGTCTCACTTTCACTAAACGTTGTAAGTGCCCCTTGATGAGAAATTTCAGATTCTGGAAGTGTTTCCATTGTAGATTAGGCTGCACCGCAGCATTTCCAAGTTGTTGCAATCAGTGGTGCTGGTGGTGCACTCTTCCCTCTGACTTGGTACTAAAGCAATGCTCCGCAAGATGTCTGGGCTGCTGTGCACCTGGAAGTTCTGTCTTTGAATGTGATGAAAAAACCAGGGTCCTGCCCCCATGTGATTATTAAAAACTTAATCTCATTTTTCAAATCTACATGTATTAGTCCCCTTGTCCTGGACAAATTCCATCTGCCTGCCAAAAAGTTTGGTTGAAGTTGGATACAGTATTCTTCCTGACCTCCTGTCCTAAATGGCTGAGTAGTGTTGCTATGTGCATTTAAAAAGTTCCCAAATTCCACTCCAGAAATGACTGCATTTCTGTCAGGAGGAGGGCGGGGGAATCCGCTCTTGTGCAGGGAAGGAGGAAATTATATACATCACATAGTTAATCTGCACAATCCTTTGAGCTCAGTTTGGCTAAAGGGTGTTACATTTATTTAAGATTATTCCCACTTTCATCATAATGAGGAAGTTGTCATGTCCATCTTAACTCTTAAGTCCAAATTCTGCCCTCATGCTTGAGCAACCGTCTTAAAGTCAAAGGGACAGTCAAGAAAGAAATGTGGAAAACTTGACAGCCTTGGTACCTTTAATGCTAGAGACGTCTCCCATGGGACATTTACAGAATTACATAAAAATACCTCAATCTCACCTGCTTTACTTATAAGAAACTATGTTACATACAGTTTAATAAGAAAGCATTTAGTTATTATTTCCTTCATGTGTTTCCATTTAGGGTTGCAGGCATGTCAGCTGGCTATAAGTACAAGAACTGTTTGGGCATGCTGTCCAAATGGAGATGTAGCACGTCGGTATGGCATTACTGACAAAAACCCAGCAGGAGACTACTGGAAGAAGATTCCAGGGAGTATGTCTTGTTTAACAGGCAAGTCAGTTCTGCATGATGAGCTGAAACCTTCACTGACTGATCTTATGATAGCTATTGTGTGTTCTACCCGATGGTGCTCAAATTGATTATTAGTAAAGATAAATACTATTTTTAAGTGCTGCTGTTTTGTTATTTGACCATGACTACTTAATCAATTTAGCTTTTATAATTCCCTCTTTCCTCCCCTCCTCCCCACCCCCCAAAATTTCTTCCCTGGGTCCAGTTAGAAAAATTTAGTGAAATATAAGCTGCTTTTTGAGTGTTTGCAACTGGAACATACTGCTTTAATTAAAATCTGGATAACTTTTGCTTGGCAGTGACACCTCTAGATGAACTGTGGGCGATTGGTTCTTCAGGATACCTTCTTCAGCGCCTCACGAAAACATTCAGTCACTCTCATAGCTTGCAAAAAAGTAGTGACACTTCTGTTTTGCTTCACCCTGATGATTTTGAAGATGAATGGGAAGTGATATGAAGGCACTCAAGCATGTGAGGCAGTGGAATAACGAGAGAGCAATGCTTGTATTTCCAGTAACATGCATAGAAAATGTTGGGGTTTAAAGTCACTTGTATTTAAAATGCAATATTAGCACTTTTTTTTACTAAAAAACTGACCTGTCAAATAACCCCCAAACTGTGCATTCATATGTTTGTTCCAGTATTTCTTGGGAGACAGTAAGTGTGGCATACTGAAATTGTTCAACTGTATTACCCTAGCAGCTCATTTGGAAATATAACTCTGTTAACCTTATTAGTAGTGAAAGTGAATATTTTACAACAGCATGCACACTAATATATATGTACTTCTTTTGAGAAGGCTTTGTGTTACATTAAATATTTCTCAATAGCAGAAACATTCAATATTTCTCAATTTCTTCCTGTACTTGAAACTCCAGTTAGAGAAATGCCGTCTGTCTGTCGTGTCGTACGAATTTAAGATGATCCCAATAGGGACTAAAAACTTATTCTACAGCACGGGTGTCAAAATGAATATTGTTTGGACCATTTTCATTTCAAAATCTCCAATGCTTCACTGACCTTCCATCTCTGGACATTTGGGTTCAATAACTGGTTTCATTCACAGATGAGAAGTTTGAAATTACCCTAATCTCAGGTGGATATTTGTCCACCCCACATACCATCAAGAAACTGACTGACTGCTCCATGAGGCCCAGGGTTGGAATAGCAGCAAAGTTGTGGATCAGGTTTCTGGTACATTGGCAGGATTGTGTGAGGCAGCTTTCTTGGTACCTGATGCACTGTATTTGTGCCTACAGCCAGTGCTTTATGGCCTGGACTTATTTTTTAAAATACCAAATTCAGACAGTTTAAAAAATATGGCAATTGATAGAGATAGATAGATAGATATAGAATTAATTCTGTTTATAGATAGAATTAATTCTATCTCCCATAGAAAGTTTGTGATATTGTGGGGAGGTGCTTAACAATATTGTGATTTTTAGCTACATTAGCTAAATTTTGAAGTGTCTTAAATGTTGCAGCAGAGGTGTTTAATGAACTGGGCAACGTGCTGAATAAATTAATCAGTGCTGTTTATTTTTCTTTATATTCTAAATGTTCTCTAAAGGATACCTCATTTGTAAAGACTAGAATTGTAGATGAAAAGAACTTGAGTTCACTGATGTAAGCGGAAGAATATTTTTTGTGTTCATTCTAAACTCATACATCATCAGAATGTTTAAACAGCTGCTAACCAATGCTGTAAATGAGCCAGCTTCAGGAGGAGATGAGGAAAAAGTGGAGAGAAAATTCAGGATTGAGAACCTAGGAGTCAATGCATAGAAAGACGTTTCCTTTTAACCTCTGCTCTCTTTCAAAATAGCTCTTGCACGTTCTGTGCTTGGTTTGGAATAGACACAGTGAAAGGTTTAAATGTAAATCTGACTGTAGAGAGAGAACTAACTTGGTTCACTTTTTTTAAATATAGCATGTGTATTATTGACTTGGTTCTGTCTGATTTTTAAATCTGGGGTGATTTGGGCAGAGGTCAGGTTTGTTTCCCTTTGACAGCTGATCTGTTTTGATTTCTTTCTCATCTGTATATGGAGACTGCCACAGAGTTTCTTTTTTTAGTCTGCCTGGCACTGCACTCTAATGGATTCAGCTTCTGAAGTTACCCAGTTTGTTTTATACAAACATGGCAGGGTGTTTTGAGAACCCCTTGGCAAGTGGAAATTCAGTTTAAAGTATCTTGTGGCAGCTCCCAAGTCAGCCAATTCAGAGGAGGGACAAGACGTCTTCCTCACTCCCTGTCAAGGACCAGATGCTCAGATACAACGGTGTTATTTAATACTGACACTTTTTTTATTACACTTTTAAAAAGGCATCTTGGTAATGGCTCAAGCTTGCTAGCTGTTTGTACACTGCATAATACTGTACTTTGCTTTGTTCATTAATATTAATTGGTGTTGGAAGCCCTTCTAAATTGATGGGACTTTTTTGTGTAATTTGATTAAACCTGAACCCAGGTAATAATTTGAAACACTTTTAACCTCCTTACTTTCTTTTATTTCAGTACTTTTGATTTTCTTTTATTTTTGTTGTGCTTTGAGAGAGTGCAATAAACTAGACTTTTTTCAAACTACTGTATTCAGAGCCTCAATTATTATGACTGACAAATAGAAAAGGGAGTCTGTTCATCCTGGGAACTCCTCTTGATGCTGGAGAAACATGCATATAACATACCACCCAGCAATGGCCAGAAGGGCCAGACACTATGATGCGGGCTGGGTACATTAAAGAACACAATTTCTATTTTCAAATCATCATACGCATGCATCAAAGTTCTTTGAGCACTATACAACATAAGACATTCCCAGTGTAAGAAATATTACCTTATTGCAAACAGGTCACCCCCAACTTCAACCTAGGACTCTGTAGGTTTTAGTCCTGAGTCATAGACCTGGAGTTTAAGGCTAGAGGGGACCACTAGATCATCTAGTCTGACCTCCTGTATAACACAGGACACCACCCAACACCTGCACACTAAAGCCAAAATGTGGCCAGAGTATTACAGCCTACAGGAGACTTAGACTATCATGTGCTACAGGGAGAGAATAGGAGGGACTGAGGTGCACCTTCAAAACCAACAACTGGGTTTTCCCTGTGGTTACAAGTTTATCTACCTTAAAATTCAGAACCAAAACAAAGGCTGGGCAGATCACTCATTTCTTTATACAGCTCAGGCCTTTGATCTTGGCCTTCTGTAACAGGTAATCGACAGACAGGGTCACCCAATGAAATTAATAGGCAACAGGTTTAAAGCAAACATAAAGAAGTACTTCACACAATGCAGAGTCAACCTGTGGAACTTGCTGTGACGGCCATAAGTGTAACTGTGTTCAAAAAAGAATGAGAAGTTCATGAAGGATCAGTCCATCAATTGCTAACCAAGATAGTCAGGGAGGCAATCCCATGCTCTGGATGTCCCTAAGCCTCTGACTGACAGATTCTGGGATTAGACGACAGGATCTCTCAATAATTGTCCTCTCCTGTTCATTCCCTCTGAAGCATCTGGCACAGGTCACTGGTGGAAGACAGGATCCTGGGCTAGATGCACCATTGGTCTGACCCATATGGCCATTCCTATGTTTTTATCATTGGCTACTGTGATATCATGGTACTACTTTCTTTGCTAATGTACAGAAGTTTCATTTGCACATTAAAGGAAGGTCTTGCATAGGAACGACACAAATGAAGAGGATTCAAACAATATCTGTGCCCTCAATATTCTACTTAGCATTTGTAAATATCCCAGTATCTCAAAGCACTTGTATATTGAGTCCACCTCCCCACCTACCTCCCAGGGATATTGGACATTCTGGTACTCACTATGGCACAGAGAGGTTGATTCACACAGGAAGGCACAGCAAGGATTAATAAATTAGCATCATAGCCAGGGCTTCTGACTCCCAGGTTCTAACCACCCTGGCTCTCCTGCTTATATTCAGATGTTAGTGTCTTCAGTGAGGATCAGTATAGCTTTTGTCCTGAAAACCCAGCTTCTGCTGAATCTTGCAGTGAAATTGTATCTTTTGCTTCTAACCTCAATCCATTGCTATGACACACAAGTAATTGTCAAGTCACAGTTTACAGGTCAGGTGCCCAGGGATGGGTGCAGTATAGATTACCGCTCTTGGCAGATGAAAATAGTTTAGTTTTCATATTGATTTCACTGCAGGACTGAACAGAAGAAAGTAAGTTGTATTAAGGAGAAATGTTTGTTGGAAGTACATTAACTGTCAAAAGCATTGAGGAGAATTGTATACTAGATGAATTATGTACGTATGTATGTTGTTTTCTAATAAAAGTTCTCCTGAGGCTAAGGAAATAAGAAACTTTTAATTGCAGGTTTGTTTTCAGTTTCTAAAAAATATTTATACAAATATAAAAAGCAGCACCTCCCTATGCCCCTTTGCATCCTTGACACAAATTGCAAAAACAAGAAAACTCCCACAATTGCCAACAAACCTCAACCACTACGGAACTCCCCACCCTCACACATGCCCAACCCCATCATGCTCCTCCCTCTGCATCAGGCCCAACAAGTAGAAGAATCCTGAAGGCTAGTAGACTGGCTATTTCAGACCGGAGGGGAGTGCTGTTCCCCCACTTTTAAATCTAGGGGGATTCCTCTCAGTGCCTCTCCTGATCCCAGCCATGACCACCAAACATTTTTTAAACATGACTTTCTCCTGTCTATTCTAGATGCTAAGTCAGGTTTCACATTGGTGCTAACATTTTCTAACCAATACATTTTCCCAGTGTAGATGTTGCCAAATAGGAAGGTGCCAAGCTCTTTAGACTAAAACCATCCCCTTAAATCATCCCGAAACCAATGGGCAGCCCATGCAGATCCTGAAGCTCAAGAGTCTTTTTCTTCCAGTGTGAAGCACTGCTTAACAGGCCACTACAGATTGCACCTTCTTGAGTTCTGGATTGACTTGAGCACCCCATAAAAAAATGCTTTGTAGCAAATCCAGTTCTGAGTTAAAGGCCTTCAATTTTTTAACAAACCTCTGCTCTATTCTGTTTTCTCCACTAGTATCTCAGAAGATGTTAAACATCAGCTACTACAGTTACACATTTTTAAATCAGCAGGTCTGGATAACTTGCATCAGAGTTTTAAAAGAGCTGGCTTTAGAGCTCCCTGGACCATGAACATTGATTTCCAGGAAGTCTTGGAACTCTAGCTTCTTCCAGTCTTCTGGAATTTCCCTAATGTGCCAATATTTAAAAAGGGTAAATGGGATAATTCAGGTAATTATAGGCCTGTTAGTCTGACATAGATGCCATGGAAGATAATGGAGCTGCTGAGATGGGACTTGATTAATCAAGAGTTAAAGGAGGGTAGTGTAACTAATGCTGATCAACATGGGTGTATGGCAAATGTCAAACTAATTTGATATCCTGCTTTGAGATTACAAGTTTGGTTAATAAATAGTGTTGATGTAATAGACTTCTATAAGATCTTTGATATGGTACTGCATGATGTTTTGATTAAAAACTAAAAAGATATTAAATGGATTGAAAGATGGCTACTCAATTGGTTTCAAACGATAACTGTAAATGTGGAATAGTCATCAAACAGGTGTGTTTCTAATGGGGTCCTGTAGAGATCCGTTCTTGGCACTATGCTATGTAACGCTTTTATTAATGACTGGGGGAAGAAAACATAAAATCATTACTGATCAAGTTTGCAAGTGATAAATTGGAGGTGTGGCATAATGAAGATAACAGGTCTCCGAGACCGAGTGATCTGGATTGCTCGGTAAGCTAGGCACAAGCAAACAATATGCATTTTAATATGGCTAAATGTGAATGTGTACCTCCAGGAACAAAGAACGTAGGCCATACTTACTGGAAGGGGGTACTCTATCCTGGGAAATCTAAAAAAGATTTGGATGGTGATGTGGATGCTCAACTGCAAATGAGCACACTGTGATACTGACCAAAGGTCCTGACATTTCCTTAGGAGTAGAGAGGTTATATTACCTCTGTATTTGGCACTGTGTGACCACTGCTGGAATACTGCGTCCAGTTCTGGTATACACAGTTCAAGAAGGAATGTTGAGAAATTGGAGAGGGTTCAGAGAAGAGTAATAATGATTAAAGGATTAGAAAATCTGCCATATAGCCAGCCTGCAGAGTGGTGATATTCTCAGGCTTACCATTGGAACAGTTTACCAAGGGAAGTAATGGATTCCCCATCCCTTAAATCTTTAAATCAAGATTGGATGTCTGTCTACAAGAGATCTAGTTCATATGCAAGTCACTGGGCTCAGTGCAGGAATTGCGGCATGAAATTCTATGGCCTGTGTTACAA